AACAACAACAATAAACAATAAACAAGCTCAAAATTATCAACCCATCTTGAACCTCCAAAACCCTAAAACCCAACAACATAAATTCATCAATTCTCAACATAAATATCACCAATGGGCCAACTTTACAATTGAATCAACGTAATAAATGTTAAGAATAACCAAAATTACGAGTTTCTCTTACCTCAATCACTTCAAAAATGGGGAAATGTAAGAGGAAGGGAGAAAGTTGCGGACTCCGAGTGGCACACTTCTCTTTACGATTCCAAGTTCTATAGCTCAAATCACAACACTTATAGCTCAAACTAACAATCAGGGGGAGAAAAAAAACCTCTTAGTAGAATTGAATCGAAGATTAGACTTTATCAACTTCAAAACACTTACGAACTTATGAAGTTCATATTTTCTTAAATCCTTATATACCTTTTATTATTTTTGGTCAACTTTGATCTCAACTCGAACAATTTTAAACAACTTAACTTATGAGATTTCTTTAATCCTTAAAGCTACAAAAAATACATATAACACAACATAGCAACTCAAACAACACACAAGTTATCATACAACATATAACATACATAATGTAAGTAACAAAATAAATTTGTGTATAAAAATAAAATTAATTTATATACTCACAATGCAAAACATTTTTATACATAAACATTCAATAAAATTTGATCATTTAATTATATCATCCAATTCATTAATTTGACGTGTTCATAATTTAAGTTCCTAGATGTATATCTAAGTAAAAAAGTTGTATATGTCAATCAATAAAAAATTATTGTTAATATTACTTTAGAGTTGGTTATTGTAAAAGTTATCCGACTTTTCATACAATATGGTTATTTGTAATTGAATAACAGAGGAAGTTATTGTTTACATTGTTAGCATAGTTAATATTTATTCAATAATATAAGTAACGATAAAAGTGATTCACAATAAGGAAAACATTGGCGTTTCGTTCTCACAAGGCAATCGATAAGAGTTTATAAAACTTTATAGGATTGAGACTTTTAGACAAAAAGAGAGGGTCAAGTTAAGATTAATTGGTCTAAAGTTCCATGTGCAAGTTTTAGAAATTTCAATGCCAATGCTTGCATTACAGGGACTAGAGGCATCATTACTAGAATTTCTCTTATTATATGCGATTTTTCTTACAAATTTTTCATCAAAATTTGCAGGAAACGTTGTTCCTACAAATTTTTCTGCAAAATTTTATTTGCAGGTAATACCTTCGTGGATAATATATTTTTGCGAATTTTAAAATTCTTAGGAAAATTTCCTGTGAAATTTCTTGCGAAAAAAATTCGCAGGAAAGTTTCTTGCAAAAAAAAATTTGCAGGAAATTTTCCTGCAAAAAAAATTCGCAGGAAACTTTCCTGCGAATTTTTTTGCAAGAAATTCTGCAGGAATATTTTTTACGAAAACATAAAAAAAAATACTATAAATTATATATTTTAAGAATTCATAATCTTTTATTTTCATGCCTCATACATAATCTTTTAAATTCTAAGATTGTAGATTATAAGTCTAACACTCAACCATACAATTCAACTTGTAAGGTAAGTGTTGCCCCAACTTATATACTCTTTAATTGTTTTATTTTCAATCGATGTGGGACTTAGAGATTTTTTAAAATATTAAACTTATGAATTTAAATATTTTTTTTTTTTTTCCTGCAAATTTAAATTTGCAGGAAAATCCGCAAGAAAAATTACCTGCAAAATTTTTCTACCATTTAGTAAACATTACTTGCGAATTTATTTTTGCAAGAAAATATGCAAGAAACAAAATAAAATTCTTACAATATTTTCTGCAAATTTTTACCATGAAATTTTTTTTCCCATGATTATTAAAATTGTAGCAAAATTTGCAAGAAATATCTGTAAATTATTTTTTGCAGGAAAATTGTCAAAAAATTTCTGTGAATATTTTTTTGTAGGAAAATTCGTAAAAAATTTCTGCGAATATTTTTTTACAGGAAATTTTGCAAAAACTTTCTACGAATACTTTTTTACAGGAAAATTTGCAAAAAAATGACACTTTTCTAGTAGTGCATCTTGCAAGGGTTTTAATGACGAAAGAAATAAGGGTCTTAATTATCAAATTAGGAAGCAATTGAAAGAGATCGAATCAAAATTGAGTTCTTTATGATCGCAATTTCATATGTTTTCCTCATGATTTTCCATCTAAATGTCGCAAGACAAACTAAGCACTAGACCTTCGAATAAAGGTTGCATAAATGTCGCAAGACAAACTAAGCACTAGACCTTCGAATAAAGGTTGCATAATCAACTGGTTAGGAAATATATGTGAATTGTTATAAATATCTTGTACAAAGTTTGATTTATGACGGATAAAAGTAATTGCACGATTTTGCCAATATATATATATGATCACCAACAAACCATTTGTTAATAAATTTCAAAGAAAAAATTGAACTAATTAGAAACTATAAATACTTAATTATTTTATCATATAATGAATTAAAACTTCTTAGCTTAACCATTTTTATTTGAAGAAGTCTTTGAAAGTTGCAACCATGATACCTTTTTGAAAATGTTATATTTATTTAATTATTAAATCTAGAAACGTGTACTTTTCTCAATCAATTGTTGATATCTGCTAAAAAAATTAAATATTTTTTTAATATGACTTATGTAATCAAGCTAACAAATTTAAATATTTTTTTGATTGAATATAATAGATAATATCTACTTAAAAATTTCTTAGTTTTGACAAAGCAAGAAGATTTGGATATACTTACCTTAACTAAAAGGTATTGAAATATAGCTTTAGTTATATTTAAATAGATAATAACTAGTATCTCAGCTCTTCTTGATTCCTAGGTCTTTAGCTAAAAATTTATTTTTAAATAAAATAAAATAAATTTTATTTGTATTTAATATGAAAAGTTTATTTCATTTGCCTTTAATAAAACTTAAGAGTATTTTAGGATTTTTTTATCTTTTAATTATTAATAAATGGGTTAATTAAGGTGAATAATAGAGGATCTATTTTTAATTTAAAAATATTGAAAATATATTTAAAGAAGATTTTACAACAAATGACATTTGTAAATGACCAAAAAAAACATGGAACTTATATGAATGATTCCTAAATGTTATACCTTTAATTTAAGATGAAACTTGGTAAATACGGGAGGTTTGACATGGTAGGTGATAGACATATTGTTGGATATGTCTTACTTGCATAAAAGGAAACTAAAAGCATGTTTAGAAAAGATTACTTTCAAAATAAGTTGTATTTTAGAATAGTCTTTTTCTCACCCACTTATGATTATTTCTCAATTTTTTTTTCCTTTTAAGCTAATTTACTGCATAAGTACTGATTTGATTTTATTGTATCTAAACGAAATTAAACATCTTAAAATAAATTTATCTAAACAAAATTTTGTTCAAAATTATAATCGATTATAGCATTAATTGATTTAATAATTTCATTTTCATAGGTTTTACAAATGCACTCTTAAGGCTGAAGTGGATGAACCTAATGATGTATTGTTTGGTTTACATGCATAAGTTGTTTATGATAAGCATTGTAAAAGTTGGTGCAATTATTGATAGCCTTGGGGATATATATATGTGCCAATCCACAAGGGATTATGACCTTACCCCCCAAGTTATGGTGGCAACTAACTACATATGAATATCCCAATGAAATGGTTTAACAAAGATCAAGACCAGTGTCGCCCCAATGGTTTAAGTCTTGCTTTATGATTTGTGTGGTCCTTTATTGTTGTGATACCATGCTTAAGGGACATGTCATTCAAAGTTGTTGGAATCTCCATAGTTGATTATGCACAAATTGCATAATTGAGTTCATATTACATTGAATGTATTTGTGTGTGTTATTGTATATTTTAGTTGTTAAGTTCCACATATATACGTGATTAATTGGATAATAATGTGTGTTACTTTATTTATATTCCTAAAATTTTGGTAAACTTATCTTTACACTCATTATAACACTTTTTTTTTTGTTTTAATGTGAGTAATTAATTATTGACGTGACATGTTGATTGTTATCTTAACATATTAATTATTAATACGACACATTATGTCACATCATCATTTATATGTCATATCACTTATCAATATTACATCAATAATTAATATATTATACTTATTTAGTTCCTATAATTTTATAAACTTTATTTTTTAATCTTTATAATTAAAAAATTTCTTTTTGTACTTGTACATACCATTTTTATTCACCAAAATCTCTGTCATTTATTGTTATAGAGACTAAAAGGTAAAATTTATAAGATTATAAGGATTAAAAGAAAAAAAACTATCCTCATGAAGACTAAAATAAAATTATATGGGCTAAAATTTCATAAAATTAAAAGAATTAAAAGAATATTTAAATTTATGAAAAAATTTGAAATTTGTGACAAAATATTCAAATTCAAAGGTTGGGTGACAAAATTAACAAAAGTTGAATAACAAAATATACAAATAATCTAAATATTTAATATCACCCTATTCAAAATGTAATTTATTGAGCCAAAAAATTTAATTATTGATATATAATTTTAAAAACTTATAAAACTTAAAATAATATATTATATTAAGTCAACATTTTTAATAAAGAGATATAACTCATTTTTATCAATCTAACTAATTCTATAAAAATAAAGTAGTATCTTCCATTACATTAAATTAATTTGAAACGATATAAAAATAATTCAAATTTATCCCCAAAACATGTCAATTTTCATTTGTAAATTCCAATACCCAAACCTAACATAATTAATTTGAGTTAGATCACATTTAGTAGGACACAAGGGGCCATGAAGACCAATAAAATAGTTCTTTCAATTCTCATCATCATTGTCCAATTAAGAATAACTTTTACAGAATCCAATTCGAGTTTATTTTATTACATAGTAGTTTCAATAGCCAACACTTGGGTTGCTCCGGTGGCCATGTGTGACGTGAAAGACAGCTATATTCTGAATGTCGATTAATTTAATAGCTTAGCAAGTACGGTCCGTTGGATGCAGCCGGAGACAAATATGTGAGTACTGAAGAGAGGATCCAAACGTTCTGATTCTGTTGCTAAGAGAGAAAACAAGAAAACGAGAATAAGATTAAGACCTATGCAATGCATATGCATGCTTGTAGTTGTAGTGGTAGAAACCAAAATCCAGCACCCTCTGTTCCACGTGGCACTACCCCAAAGGCCAAAAGGCCAAAAGCCCAAAACCTTCCTCTCCCTCCACTCTCTTAATTTTCATTTTTCCACCACCCTTCTACTATTTCTACTTGTCATTTATGAAATAGTACACTACACAATACAATACTTGCGCATTGTAGTTAAGGGATGCGAAGGACAATGGCTTTCGCTCGCTACCCCGTTGTAGCTTCCAATTTAGCAAAATGTGATAAAATGGTTACAAATAAATCAATGCAATTCTGAACCTGCATTGCAATACAATTGCGCTTCCACTTTCCGCCTCCCTCCACCGCTCGCTTATTTAAGTAGCAACATGCAGAATCTTAACCGATTCGTTTCACTTTCTCTCCCGCCTCTTTCCTCTTCTCGCGCTCCCTTCGCTTCTCGAACCTTCTCCTTCGCCGCACCGTTTCGCTCTGCGTCCGCAGGTTTCTTCTCTCTTCCTCTCTATTAGCCTTTTCGATTCTCTTGTTAATCCTACTTGTGTTTGTTGTTTAAGCCCGCGAGTTTTGCGAGCTTAATTCGTTGGAGACTTATGCGTGCGTAGTAGGAAGAACTTGAAGAGATTTAGACATTTAGTCAATTGAGAGGTTGAGGTTTATGCTGTTTCTTACCTAACTGCTGAATCTGAAATTTCAGGTGATTTTGTTCAAGGAAGATATTATGGATACTACTTTATTTATTTATTTATTTATTTTTTTATTTTAGCTGTTTTTTCTCCTGTTAGATCGAATATCTGTTTTACCTTATCGTCAGAGAGTGCAAGAATGTGTGTTTGTATGTTATAATTTTTTATTACTTTGTTATTTTTCTTGAATCTTTTTCTCTGTATTTATCTGCTGGTTGCTTACCTCAACGCGGTAGTGTAGCATAAGAATGTGCTGTTATATGTTATAATTTTTTATTACTTTATTTTTTTACTTTTTTTTGCTGGTAAGTTACCTTATTGCGAGTGTAGTGCAAGAGTGTGCGCGTATATGTTATAATCTTTTACTACTTTATCTTTTTCTCGAAACTTTTTGCTGTTTTTTTTTCTTTTCCTGCTATTAGTTCAAATATCTGTGTTACCTTAGCATAGAGAGTGCAGGAATGTGTGTTTGTATGTTACAAACTTACAATGTTTAACACTTCATTTTTTTCCTGAACTTTTTCGCTGTATTTTTCTGCTGTTGGATCAAATATATGTCTTGCCTTATGTGAGAGTGAAAAAAAATGTGCCTTTATATGTTATAATTCTGTAACCTATTTAGATGGAGCAGAGACCTTATGCCTATTATATCCTGAATAAGTGTACACGTCTACATGATTTATGCATTACGGTCTTTTTACACCGAAAATCACAAATTGTCCCCTTAGATGTTTTTAGTACAATGGAATTATATTTCCGTGTTCAATGTTGAGAAAACTAGGAAGTGAGTGCAAATTTCTAAATAGGTTCTGGGCAAAAGCTTTTAGAGAAAGTTAAGGAACTTGATCTATATTTACTGTATATAGTCTATTAGTACTTCACTTTCATTAATACATTGGTTTGCTGTTGTATGTACCAAAGTCATTTCCAAGTATTACTGGAATATAATTCTTTGAATGTTTTGTTTTGTTGTTGATAAAACCTATCAGGAGCCACTCAGTTGCTTGCTCAATTCTCAATGGATGGGATCCATGGAATTGGTGCACATGACCATAGCTCAGTCAATTTTCCTGGCAATGATAGTAGCAAATCTTCTGATTTTGAACCTAAAACTGCTATAGGCAAGCAGATATTCTGTAACCGGCCACTGAACATGAAAAACATTGTTGCTGTGGGATTTGACATGGATTATACTTTGGCACAATACATTCCTGAAACTTTTGAATCTCTTGCTTATCAACACACGGTTGAAATGCTGGTTTATGATTTGCATTACCCTAGTGAGGTTTGTACAATTAACCTTGTAGTAATTATTACCATAATTAATTATTTTTTATTCTTTTCTTGTGTCCATAATGATATAAAGAGGGGGATAGTATTTTATTTTTCAGGGTTATTGATTCACTGTTTTTTGGTTCACTTTGTATCCATCAACTCCTTGCAATATAATATTTTTTAATCATAAAGGATTTCATTTGTTACCATTTTTGTTTGTAGGTATTGTCAATCTCACATCGTGTAGCTAATATCTTGGCTAAAAGTTTTTTTTTCATGCAGTTATTGAGTTGGTCATTTGACTCGAATTACATGGTTAGGGGCTTGGTTCTTGATAAAAAGAGAGGCAACATATTGAAGGTTAACATTGAACAAATGTTTTTCATACATCCGCTCTTGCCAGGGGGAAAAGTATATAAGGGGATTGCATGGGAAATGACTGTTTTTTTCCTTTTTCAAAATTTCTCTATTTGATTGTTTTATTGCTGGTTTTGTCCCGTCATGTATTTAGATGGATCGGCACAAGTATGTGAAAGTAGCCTATCATGGATTTAAAGAGTTGTCAAAAGAAGATAAAGTTGGAACATATGCAAATACTTTAGTACATGATTCTTTTGATGGGCCAGACTATGCTCTCATTGATACACTCTTTTCACTGGCGGAAGCCTACTTATTTGCTCAGCTGGTTGATTTTAAGGACAGCAATCCTGGAAAGTTTCCAGAGCATGTTGAGTAAGTCCCGTTATTGTTTGCTTGAGTCTTTTTCTCTTTCAGGATGTCTCTAGACATCTGTGTTTTTGAAGATCAATTGCATACTAAGATTAAAGTAATTGTTGCTTTTATTTCTTTGAAAGTGGACACAATCTTGATCGGCTTCTTGAAAAGTACTTTATTTAGGTTATCATTTATGAGGATATATTAGCTTCCAGGCAGAGATGGGCTTTTTTTATGGGTATGGACATATCTAGAATAGTATCATTAATTAATGTTGAGTTCAACATCCTTATAAAGCATTGAAAGGTTATGATCATTATCTGCTAAACTTGTTTATGCAAATTAAAGGGCAATAAATAGGTAGTGAAAAGCATGAACATTAGGCAGGTAAAAAATGTGTATTGGGCAGTGACCATAATTTTCTTTTAAATGTTGAAAATCATAGATTATGTAAAATAGAAACAGATGCTTATTCTACGATATTTTTGAGTTGTCCTTTTAGTTATGCTTGTCTGTACAAAGATGTTAGAGCTGCAGTAGATATGTGCCACCGAGATGGAACATTGAAGAAACAGGTTGCCATAGATCCCAAAAGGTATGAATGTAAAATCACTAACACTTTATAATGAAAAATGCACTAATCTATGGGTTATCTGAGGTCTTTCTTATCAGTTTCTTTATTAAATTTATATGCTTAACTTTAATAAGCTATCTTCGGGTTCTTGATGTTATTATTCTGATGTAGTCAATTTTCTATTTAAAATTAAAATATTAGGTATATAAATGAAGACACCTCAATAATTCCCATGCTTAAAATGCTCAGAGAATCTGGACGAGCAACATTTTTGGTGACAAACAGGTACTGATGAATTATCTATATTAGCTGAGTGTATGATTAAAATTTATCAGCAAGTCATCCAACCATCTTGTTATGAAAATGTTTAAATTGTTTACGAAACAATGTAGAATTATTTTTTGTGTGATAGACCAATTATGTCAGTTTTCTTCAAACAATAATTCCCAGTCTTTATGTTATTTAATAATTTAATGTTCAAATAATAGAACATGGTGGATTATCATATATTTCCAAATTTTTAAGTATTGGTGTGTGATACTAAAAATTATTTGTGCTTTCATCAATCAACTTGAGGCTTTCAAATAGTTGGTTGTTGAGAATTGAGATGGTATTTTAGCTTCTCAAAGTATGAAGTGTTACTTGCGTGAGGAGGTGTGTTACAGAGAAATGTTAATGCCAATACCTAATAGCTTAGTTGATTCATGACAAAAAATATGAGATAAGAAGTTTTTTTTTTTTTTTTTTACAATTTATTATGAAGTGCTTTGATAGAAAATATAAACACACTTGTGCTGTGGTTTCTTTATCTATAATTTACTAATATTTTAAACACTCGTCTCTAATTTTGCAGTTTATGGGACTATACAAACGTGGTTATGAATTTCCTCTGTGGATCCAGTGAGGCAAATGAAAATGCTCAGTTTGATTGGCTTAAATACTTTGATGTCGTCATCACTGGCAGGTCTTGTTCTTCTCTTGTCATCGGCAACTAGTTAATTATTTTTTGTTCATCACCCCACTTTAAATGAATTTTCCCATAATTAGGGCCCTTGGAAGACTTATAACTATATTCTGAATGCTCGAGGAAAATAGTTCCTCATCAGCTTTATTTATAATAAAAGAAATATAATCAGATTTAATTACCGAATCCCTTGATTGCAGGGATGAAACAAAACGGATAAGAATCAGAAAATAGCATGGAAATACAGAACATGAATCATGGAAATGTAATCAAATCTCAAGAGGAAGTAATTAGGAGATATGCCAATCATTTAGTTAGGCCATCGTGTCAATCAGTGAATAACATTATCCCAATCATGAAACAATTCTTATAGTGATACATTGTTTATAAGTCCGTTTATACGTGTGCTAATTTTGTAAAAGAACATTAAAATATATGTGTTGCAATTTGTACTGGGTTCTTGAGCTGGTTGAGTTTCCTACAATGTATTAATCTTCAATGTAACTTATAGATTTCCTTGATAAACCTGAGAATATCAATAATTCATACAGTTCAAAGCCAAGCTTTTTTCTTGAGGGAAATCCTGCCAACCTGTTTGAGGTTGACCCTGAGAGTGGAATGCTACATAATACAGATAATGGCTCTCCAATGGCTCAGGTTGGCACTGTAGCACGAGTAATTGTATTAATTAATGTTCTTGTTTTTAAAATATGTCCATTTTTTTTAAAGGTGGGTAATATCTCAGAAAGGGTACTAAAGGAAGAGAATATTTGTGGTCGAAAAATTTTCCAGGTACATTAATCACTGTCATGTAAAATGAATTTCATTTTGGTTAGGTTTATGTTACTGAAAAAAGTTGAGGTTGATGTTACTTGATACTAACTTCTGGATCCTATAAAAGGTTGATAGCTCAACATTTTATTACTATTGTGATTATACACTTCCATTTTAGGGAGGTAGCGTTGGTCACCTACATAGTCTACTCGCAATAGAATCAAGTTCACAGGTATTGATTTTCTTTCATGAAATATGTATATTGTTAGCATAAATAAATGGAAGTAAATTTTACTGCGAAAGTGTTTCTGGATTAAAGAGCTTATATTACACTAAACAGTTGTTTCTATGCGAATTCTATGTTTCTAACACCGTAACATTTACTGAAGCTTTTAATAAAACACTACACTTGTAGGTTCTATATGTTGGGGATCACATTTATGGAGATATTCTACGCAGCAAAAAAGTTCTTGGTATATTATATCAATCCTTATCACTCAAAATAGATAGATTATGAATTTTAATCCAATCTTCCAGCAAGCTTCAAGTGTTAATTACTTGTGGTTAAAATATTAGGAGTATAGATAACACGAAAGCCAAATAAAACTTAAATGCAGGGCATTGATTTGACGAGGCTTAATAATTGAGTCTAATTTTTCTTATTTATGTATTGAAACTTAAATAATAATTCTATTCTTATAAGTTATAAATTATATATATTAGTTGATTAACTATTAAATAACTTTGGTTATGATTTAATGTGCTAATGAGCAGGTTGGAGAACAATGTTGGTAGTCCCAGAGCTCGAGAAGGAGGTTAAACTACTTTGGGAATTGAGAGATGACCGCAAGGTGCTTGTTGATTTCATATATATATATATATATATGTATATATATATATATATATATTTCATATAATAATGCTCGGCGTTCTGAACTTTTAAATAAAAGAGGAAATCATACGCAGGGATAAGTTTAGTTCATTCAGAAATGATATCACGTTTGGGCTTTTGCATTCTCATTTTTTCTCATTGGACACCTGAGAAACTAATACACGTTTGGGTTAGAAGATTTTTACACAAATAGTGTTGTGTAGGAGCTTCAATTTCTGAGGAGTATGCGTGACCTCGTTGAGGATGAAATGCATTATCTGAATGAGTCTCTCAGGTTAGTACAACTCTGGACCACACAAGGCCAGTGTTACCATCTGACTCAAGTCACAGAATAGTCTACAATTTTTCAGATTAAAGAATCCAGATGAGGATACCAAGAAGATGTTAAATTTGAAACTTGATAAATTGAAGGTTTGGCCTTTTGGTCCATTATCATTTCTTCTGTCATGTATAGAAGTCCAATTATGGGTATTTATTTTTAAGTACCTTATTCTTTTATCAGCTTGAAAGAGAGAGGGTTCGATTAAGTCATCAAGAAGCTCAAAAAGAATTACACCAGAAGGTAGAAAAGCTTTAGCCTTTTTCCAATATCTCTAGTTCTCTTTCTAATTTCTACTGTTCCGCATAATTAGAGCACGTGCAATTTACTTTTTTCAGTTTCACGAGCCATGGGGCCAGCTGATGAAGGCTGGTTATCAGAACTCTCGCTTTGCATATCAGGTAAAATTTGACTCCAGTTGATACTTCGGTGCAATTTGGTTATTTACTTTGTACTTGTATGATTCATTTTTTTTTATTTATAAAATTGAATAGAATTGATCCACTTTATAAAAAATGATTCGGTCAACTAAATCATTTTTACAAAATAGATCGGTACAGTATAAAGTGAATACAGTTTGGTTATCTACTTTATACTCATATATGATTTAGGTTTTTTTTTCTTCTTAAAATTGTATTGAATTAATCCATTTTGTGAAAAATAGTTTGGTTAACTGAAGCATTATTTACAAAGTAGATTTATTCAATTTTTTTTTCTACAAAACAAATTGATTTGTATTATCGGGATCAGTTTGGTTTGGTTTGATTTGATTTTTGCACACCCTTTCAATTATACTCTTTTCCGGTCAGCACGGCAGTCTTGCTAAATGATGCCTTAATATCACATCAGAGCGTAAAGAAAATGTTGGTAATTTTTGCATATTAATAGTAATATTGCCTCCCATCGCTCCATTTTGAAACTTATGAGATCTGGTTGCATTTCCCCCCTTCCAAATCATGAGTACAAAATTGATCTTGGTGAATGGTAATTCGTTAGTGAACTTGTGTAATGATGTGCAATATGCAGGTTGAGCGATTTGCGTGCCTTTATACTAGCCAAGTATCTAACTTGGCATTGTTCTCATCAGACAAGTACTACAGACCCAGTGAAGATTTTATGCAGCACGAATTTGGCATTTTAGAAAGCTGAACTCTGCTACTGTGAGCTTTATCCTGCATCCCTTTCCCTTTTTTTTTTTTTGGGATATTAGCTTTTTGAGGTTTTTAACACGCCTGTTGTAAGGGGAAGAATAGATGCTTACTGGATTTCGTTGTTAGTTTTGTTGAGTACCTTAAGGAATTCAGTAGCTCTACGCCGCAGTTGCGCAAACTGAGTTTACTTGGCTTTGGAGCTGAATTCATGTTAGTGACGGGAAGTGAAACAAGATACTACTTAGAATTTACATCCCTTTCTCCTTTAGTAGCCAAAATTTTCTAACTAGAAAGTCTTAAGAGAATGAAATGACTCCACACTCCACGTATAATATGCAAGTATTTCCCTTCATGGCAAAAATATTTTTAATTTAACGAAAAAAATAAAAATATATAAAATATTATTTAATTAATAGATAAATATATAATTAATTCAACAAATAATCTATTTATAACATATATATAAAGACAATAACCTTATTTGGTGTACACGTTTTTTTATTTATGATTTTACCTTTAAATTTTTAAATATTAAAAATTAATTATTCTTATAAACACAAAACTAGAACTTGAAATTTTAATATTTGAAGATCAAGTACAACATTAATTGATTTAAAAAATGTTGATAATGTTTAAATATTTTTATTAAATATATATAGAGGTACTAAGTATCTTGATTTTATTAGTATAAATAATTTAAATATAGGAAGAATAGATTTTATAAAACATAAAAAAAATTAATGGCTAGAAGTGATCCAGTAGAATATTTATAACAATATATTTATATCTAATACATATTTCTTTAAGATGTTCTTTCACAATTACTCTAGATTCACTCACTATTATGTAATTTATAATATTTTATTTTAAATAAAATTTGTAATTTTGGCTCTCCTAGCATGCATATTCATTAATAGTTATAATTGTAATATTTAATAATATTTAGGTTGAATTGTACTTTCAATTCTTATTTTATCTATTTTCAACTCATTTTATATATTAATATTAAATATTAGTGGTTACACCATTTACTTAAGGTCAGATAATGACTAAAATTATCTAAAAATGAATATTTGACAAGAGGACAAAATTGTAGATTTTTATGAAATTAGAGAATTAAAAATAGAGATCAAAATTATAAATTTGGTATTATTTAAAAACAAAATGTACAATTTAACTTTTAAAAAAATTATATGTAATCAAAAGTAAGTTTAAAAGGTTTTATTATAAAAATAAAATTTTTAAACAATTTTACATTAAAAAGTCATATAAAAATAAGTATTTAATCATTATGAAATTAAAGGTAAAAAGAAAAATATATTTTTTTGTTGAATGAAAATTTAAATTTATAATGGTAATGTTGGTTCTAAAACAAAAAAAGAAAACAACAAAAACAAATGTCATGCAAGAACAAATAAAAAACATAGAAATGAGAAAATCCATCAAGAACATAAAAAAAAAATATAAATGCAAGAAAGCGTAAAAGATTTATATGATTTAATCAATTTTACCGGACAAAATTTATTATCTAAAAACCAAGATCAAGTCTTTACAATAGAAAAATCGTTCCTCTTTATTTCTTCTATCCTGTTCTTTCTGCTAATATTAAACACTTTCTTATTCACATTTTCGCTCCTTTCGAAAAGGATTCCAAAATATATATATATAGAGCGATCCAAGACAAAATGAAACACACTATATGACCAGGATAAATGGAATCAGACTAAATAGAAAAGAAAGATTTTACGGTTCATACAGATGATATCAAAGATTTTTAGCCGCAATCAACACAACCTAATAAATTGGCTGGAATCGCACGAGTCTTATGAGCTGGGGAAATAGATCTCCTGCAGTTTAGAAAACAACTGCACCCGCTGGAGATTAGTAACCTTAGAAGATCGAGATCCCTAATATGAGTGTTAGATGTACGTTATTCCTTTGCTATAACAAAATTTTACAGCGTGCTGTTTGTTCGATTAAAAATAAACAGCACAAAATGCATGAAGTCACGATATGGATCAATAATTCAATATCCTTGCTTGTGACATTGACATGGTCGAAGGGGGTGATGTTTGTTTCCTTTGTGATATTTAACTTGAATCCTTTCACATATTATAATAGCGATAACTTTGTGCTGAGAAACATGGTAGATATGATGAAAACTTGTGTAGAATGATGAATCTTTAAAAAAAAGAAGAAGAAGAATTTATTGCATTGTAAATGTTGGGTTTCCATAATCCATCATGAACTTACATGGAGAACCTCTAGTTGCACACGACTTCCTTCCTAAGCAATCTAGTAGTAACTATTGACACGCCCTACAGAACTATCCAATGAAGTTAACCAACAATTGTTTTTCCTTAAGCGCAAAAAGTTGAACTTTCAACACTTGAAAATTAGGGTATATGCCACAGAGCTCAAGAAGATTTACGACGCTAAATGCATATAACCTACCAAAGAAAAGGTCGAGTAATACAACGTTTTTCCCACTTCCAATTCCTCATAAAAATGAAACCCTCTCATTATTTTACAATGTCACGCATTTTTTTACTCAAGGGAGGGCTGTGTTTCAAACAAATCTATTGAATGAATAAAAAATTCATTTCAATATGTACTGCTGAATCTGAGCTTTAGAAAGCAAAGGCTATCCCTAGAATGCAGTATTAAGGTTTTCCATTGCTTCAACACGGACCATAATGGATGCTGGGGTGAAAAACCTCAACAGACTAATGAATAACCAAATCCATTTCACAAGTGCTTGCTTATCTTGCCTCTCCAGTCTCCACATCTTGTATTTCCAATGGTTCAGGGAAAATTTCATTGGATGACCTTTTATTGGAAGATGAATGATCATTTCCACTACTTTGAGAACCTACTTTTCCTGATTTTTTAGTGTCACTACTACCCTCCTTGTTTGTATTTGATGTGGCAACAACACTGTCTGATGAGCTGTGTCTCCAGCTACCAAAGAATGCAGTGCTCCAAGATTTCCTAGATGAGTTTGTTCTCAACTTTACTGAGCTAGGATTTTCTTCTCTCACAATCTTCAATGGATTTTCCAATGCTTTCAGGACATGTCTCATTGGAGGACGTTTGGAAGGCTTGGGATTCAAGCATGCATGGGCCACAATTGCCATAGCCCATACCTCTTCCAGTAGGTCCTCATCCAAGATCAACGATGGATCAACAATCTTACTCAGCCGATCTCTATCGTATATACTGATGTAAGGCAAGGTTTGCTCTAACCAATCTTTTGTGGTGGCATCATCTGACTTGCTGACTTCGATGTTACCCGTAACAAGCTCGAGTAAAATCTTCCCAAAACAGTAAACATCGTAGGCACATGTCACTGGTGATTTACCTGTTCATTAGCACAACAGAAAAAGAAAATGTTAAGGCTTTCTCTCGTAAGAGTTTTAAACAACAACAGGGTCATAAATTGTAATGCCAATATGTAGGTGTAGATGTCCTGTCTATACTAACTAACATATGAAGCAGTCTAGCAGATCATAAAATGTTAGTCCCATGAAGAAAACGTTTTGTGTACTGCTGGACTTCAATCTCATTCATAAAATGGTTTCTTGGTTTTTATATCTAGGTCTAGACTCTCTAGACTCTAGATATTTCTGGCCATTAAATGAATGGATGCATGTATCAACAGTATGATAAAAAACTAATTAGACAATGCTAAACCAATTTACTCACCAGAATCGCCTTGATTAGAAGCTCTGCAAAATCACGACAAAATAAACAATAATTACAACCTTTTCCGAAAATAAATATGAACAGGAGATTGAATTTAAATATCAACAAAATCAACCAGCACTGATAACTCTGTTTGCTTGTGCTTTGTGTCACTTGATTAGAAGAAGCTTCCGTATCAATAAAAATGCAATCTTGTTATCTTCAATCAATTAATTAGAGATACTAGTTCTAACAAACTACTAAGGGGCTCATTAGATAAACTTCTCCTTAAATACTTTTAGGAGAGAAAAATTAAGAAGTGAAAAATAAAATAAATTTCTCTATAAGCTAAAATTAACTTATACATATGTTAAAAATATTTTGGAGAAACTTATTTTATTTTATTTTAAAAATGTTTTTGGAGATGTTAATCCCAACAGATCTTAAGTCATTCTAGCTTGCAGGTATGATCAAACAATTTTCCTGCCAGTATGTTTATAAATCATCACAGCATCTCTTGATTTTCATTTATTATAAACAGCAATGCTTTATCAATTCCAAACTTACGGTGGCTTGCCGAAAACCCTTGAGATGACTCTTTGTTGAAGATCTCCTTGGGCAGTAACCTCACTCAAACTTCCAAGTCGCACTTCAAATTTATCATCAAGAAGTATACTGCTAGCTTGGATATCTCTACAAAAAGCAAGAGTATAATTTCAGTAATTTGCAGAACTGCAAAAGTTCTGCTAGACCTCACTTCACACATTGTTAACAGTGACAATGAACTTAGAATTTAATGCAACACAATTGTAAAGCATAATATCACAACATAAACGTTTGACTGACCTTCATATCATAAGCCAGCAAAAAAAGTTTAGCTTTAACCATGCAAAAAACAATATAACTAAGAGACCAGAGTATGTTTATTTATTTATTTTATGACAATATATTACTCAACTTAGAGAATGAATTTCTAACATAGAAATATACCATTCTACAATCACGAGGCACCATGCTAAAGAAAATGAGAATCCAACATATTTTGACAACATAAATTCAATCAATTTTTGCTGACAAATTCAATTTCGTAGCATGATCATTTTTTGCTAACCATAATGAGAGAACCCTAACAATCTTCAATGCATTTAGTATTACCTGTGGACAAGGGGAGGGCTGCACTCATGCAAGTAAGCTAGGCCTTCAGCAGCTCCTATTGCAATTTTCAATCTCGTGATCCAATCCAGGGACTGTAATTTACCATCTGAGCCATTGACTCTGTGCAAGGAAGTAGCCAAATCTCTATTCGGCATGTACTTGTAAACTATACATTTCTCATTCTCGTTCTCCAAGCAGTGACCCAGGATTGGGACCAATCTTGCATGTGAAACCTTGCTTAATAGTCTCAATTCCACAACATAAGATTCTCTCTTAAATAAACTCAAGTCTACCCTTCTGACAACCACAGTTGCTCCACTTTCCAAGACTCCCAAGAATAGGTCCCCAGAATGACCATGCTTTATGACATTTGCTTCAGCAAAATTGCCAGTCAAATGTAGCATTTGCTCAAAACTAAATGCTTCTCCCACACCAGTCACAAAATAAATATCCGTAGGAGGAGGTATAGGACTTTCCCCTTCTTGAACAGGACCCCCATCTTTAATCCCCTTTTGAACTTCCAGGCTTTTACCTTTGTGACAATGTTTCAGAACCACCATGAGGACCAATGTCAGCAGCACAATGAAGCCAACCCCACCAAATATTCCTACCAGTATGAATATCACTCGTCTGCGGCTCCCGGACTTGGATTTTGGTAAAGCAAAGGTTAAATTTCTCCTAACATAAAACTCTATACACTCTTCCAAATCCCTTTGGTTTGGAATCATCTGTAGGCAATTTCTATCTAGACTAACACTACTAACACCATCCTGCACTTCACCTTCCAAATAATTACTTGATAAATCAATTGCTTGAAACCTGTCAAGTGAAGTATTCAAATGTCCATAGAACAAATTATTTGACAGATTAAACACAGCACCAGCAGAACTAACATTCCAACTCAGGAAATTCGGCAGCATCCCAGTGAGGTTGTTAGAGGACACATCAAGAAACTGCAACCTGGGCATTGACCTCAAATTATCAGGAAGAGCACCATCAAAGGAATTCCCTCTGAGAATGAGAACCTCAAGGGCCACAAGCTCAGAAGAAAGCAAACTACCAGGCAACAACCCTGACAGAAAATTTACACTAAGATCAACCTCAACCAACTTAGAAAGGTTACCAAGTTGGGAGGGAACCGACCCAGTAAAAGAATTCCCAGAAAGGTATAATTTTTGAAGACTCAAAAGGGCACCCAGTTCAGGTGGAACAAACCCAGACAAGTAATTATTAGAAAGATCAAGCCTTGTGAGGTTCACAAGTTTAGACACAGAGTCTGGCACGGACCCTGAAAGAGAGTTTCCAGAGAGATTAAGAACAGAAAGCCCTGTGAGGTTCCCAAGCGTTAAAGGCATTTTACCAGTGAGCAAATTCCCTGAAAGCAACAAAACCCTCAACACACTCAACCTCCCAATTGAATCAGGAATCAAACCCGTTATAGAACAAAAACTAAGGTCAAGCACCTGCAACACACCAAGGCTCTCACCAAACAGCTCAGGAATAGACCCATTAAGCGTAAAACTAGAAGCATTAAACGATTCCAACAGTGTCAAATTCACAAGAGAACCCACTTCAAAATTTGGGTTAAGTCTACCCAACCTGGTTCTCCTCAAACCTGACACGTTTATACCCACAACTCGACCGTTCCGGCAATGAACCCCGGTCCAGTTCCGGCACGGTTCGGCTTTTATAGGCCAATACTTTGCCTTAATCCCCAACGACGACCGAAGTTCCCTTAACGCAAACCATTCAGTTCTTGAACTCAAACCCATTCCCATTGTTAACCCAACCATTAACAACAACGTTGTAGCCACACATAATGCAATTCCTCCCATTCCCATGATGCTAAAACCACTCACAAACTCAACTTCACTTTTTCAAGTATACACCACAAATCTCACAAGACAATTCTATTCGAGCCACCAAATATCTAACGCAATTGCAGTTAATATTACTAATTAAGCTGGAACAATCCTTGATCACGCGCGATAAGTGGTAAACTCTATTTCACTTGACTTCACCTGCATGCACAAGTTTAGTTCAATTCAGCAAATTTTACACACAACCCAGAAGAGGAAAATAAAATTAAAAAAAAAAAAAAAAACATTTTTTCTTCTACTTTTGTTTACCCCTGCACATGGTGTTGTTCTTCTCCTGCATCTTCTGAATTCCAACACAATCCACAAAATGCATCCATTAATGTTTGGATTTGGGGGAATGTCCCTGTTTTTTTATTTGCTCGCAAGGACGTTGATGATGAAACAAAGGCTTTGGCATGTTTAAGGTTGTGTGTGTGAACTGTTGTTGTGAGTTTACATGACCAAAAGGGGTTGTGGTTTTGGAATTGAGGTTAAGTCTGTAACTAAACATTAAATGGGCGTGAAGAGAATGGATAGTGCATTAATGATGCACCCAACTGCCAGAGTCTAAGTTTGCTTCTAACTCACCGAAGATATTTATGAAAGGTGGTGTAGTGAACAAGAGAGTGTGTTTTTTCTCAGAAAAAAGGTGGGTGTGTTAATGGTAGTTAAAAAGAGATTGGATTAATACAACACTGCATCATCAATGGAGAGATTGTGAAATTGCTATAGTAGAAGTTTCGTGGAATATGATGGGGTTTTCAAGTTGAATTTTCTTATTTTTCTGGTTTGTTTGCGGTGTAGATGTGAAAAGGTGATGGTGAATCGTGAATGAGGCTCTATGATAGGCATGGAGGACTAACACAGTGCAACTTGTGTCTCCACACGTAGAATTTTCAAAGGGAAAACAAATTTGAAATGTCACATGACAACACTTGCATCGCTCCAAACCCCCTGGTTTTATCTATAAATATTTAGTAAATACGTGTGCCAGATTCACGATTCACTCTTTTGTTTATATGATTAATAGTAATTACTAATAAGTCAACAAAAATAAGTACGGTCGATAAAAAAAAAACACACTCATATAATCCTTTAAAAAAATCATAAATTTAATTATTTATAATGTAAGAACTTTGTAAATGAGTAATTTATAACAATTTTTCTAGATAATTCACTTGTCTTTACTCTTGTTTTTAATTTAATATCACAATTTTTCTCGTTGTTGTTTTTTTTATTTATTTATAATTCTTTCGGTAATTATCGTTATAATTGACTATTGTAGAATGAAAGTTTTTTTAAAGTTTTTTTTATGAAAGTTTCTAAAAAAAGAGTATAATTGTATTTTTATTTAATAATTACCGATAGAACTATAAAAAAAAATTATTTATATATTATTTGTTTTAAAATTTAATTATATATAAACATTTAATATGAGGTAGTAATATAAAAGAATGAATATCATTAGGAAAAGCTGTTGACTGGAGGCGACCTTAGGAAAAAGTTGTTACCTTTTAAATTACTGGACTGAACTACTTCGTAAAGTAAAGCGCCTCTAATCTCCCATCAATCAATGACAACCAATAATTACAACCATATATTATACTATATGTAATATAGGTTAAGTCTTTATATATATAAATTTACAGGTTTAATAATAATTTAGTTCTCTAAATTTAGAGTAATTATTTTTTTATTATTAAAATTTAAAATTTATGTTATTAGTTTTGTAATTTTAAAAATATTATTTTAATTCTGTATATATATCTTTTTATTTTTTAAATTTAAAACATGTGTTTTTAATCTTTAAAACATAAAAATTATTATTTTAGTTCCTCAAATTTTTAGTTTCTCAAATTTAAAATGTATCATTATAGTCTTTATTATTTTAAAAATATTATTTTAGTTCCTTATGATCACTGATAGCACAATTGACAATAACAAATTAAGATAGTTTTATAGTATTAGTTGGTCTAATGAAATGTTTTCACTGACAATAATACTAATAATATCATAACTGACAAAGATAAATTAAGACAACTTTATAGTACTAGTAATAACATAATTGACAATGACAGATTAAGATATTTTATTAGTAATGGTTGGACTAATATGTTGTTTTCACTAGCAATCACATTAGTAAAAAAATTTTGTATGGCTGATTAATTAGCAACATTTTAAAGAGACTAAAATAATAAAAAAAAAATTTAATGTTTTGGGGACTAATTAAAAACACATGTTTTAAATTTGAGGGATCAAAAAGATAAATTTTTAATTTGAGATAACAAAATAAAATATATATATATATATATATATATATATA